TACAGTTTATTGAACATAGAAGAAAATGGAAAAGGAATAGATCAGGAACTCCTTTCTGGAGCATCCATTCATTCATCTTCTGAATCTCTTCCAATGCTTTCAGGTCTTGGAAAGTGAGTAAAGGAAGAGAGTGGTCTTTAGAAATGTGTGTGTGTATGTGTGTGTGTGTGCGTGCGTGCGTGCGTGCATGTGTGTGTGTGTGTGTGTGTGTGTATCTGGGACTCACTCACTTTTGGATCCAGACTATGTGGCGAGAAACCCGGGGAAGTTCAGGAAGGGAAATTTTCCTTCTCCCTATCTTACTAAATGATAGGAATCTTAAAAATGACCATATCTAGTTGTTGATCTGAATTCAGCTCAGTATGCTGATCATTAATCTTCTTGCTACATGCACTGGTCCCCAATTTTGATATAACCAATATCTACTAGAAACTCTCTACTAACCTTACAACTCACTAATATAGGTTAGGCTAGATTTTCCCTAGAAGGCAACAAAATCAGGGCTTGATTATCTGGGGGTATAGCAAGGCTCAAGCTGTGCTTCCCTGGATGCAGCTTCCTGTTGGTTATTGGCTATGTTGATGTGCCTTCCGGGTCACTTAGGGGCATATATGGCCGCACTTACTTGGGTTGGTGCCCCTTCAACATGGTGGATATGACACTTTGGGCAACTGTAGTAGTGTAAGAAACTCTCATTCGCTAATGTGCTACCTACCTTAGGTCCACAAAAAGACAGTATGTCACTATAATAATGGTGACCAACCCTGTCCTGCTGACCAGACTTGTTTCCATGTGGAGGGGGGCGGTATATATAAAAACCATTATATCCTGTTGCACATGCGTGCTATGTTAGGGCTAAGCAAACCTCCTTTTGTTAATTGTTCAAGGACCTACAAGTGCCTTATTTTGTCCCAACATTGCACTGAAGCTCACAGGATACTGGCATCAGGTCCAGCCCTAAAACCAATCACCTCACCCTCTTGTCTTGGCTTGCTTTTATGTACTGGTCCAGATCACTAAAGATGAAGGTATGAGCTGCTGAGTCTTACTCCCAAAGTCTGCTGCCACTATGTGGTAGGCAGGAATCCTCATTCTGACTTCCAAGTATCTCTATTCCAGTGTGTCCAAAAGGGTAGCCAGGAAGCTTTTCAAGGACAATGAAATAAATGAAATCTGTAAGTCCAAGTATAGATTTTGCCACTTCCTGGTTTTTCATCAATCTGTTTTTCCTTTTTTCTTTCTTTTTTTTTTAGGCAATTGGGGTTAAGTGACTTGCCCAGGGTCACACAGCTAGTAAGTGTCAAGTGTTTGGTCTGAGGCCGGATTTGAACTCAAGTACTCCTGACTTCAGGGCCTGTGCTCTATCCACTGTGCCACTTAGCTGCCCTACAATCTGTTCTTCCTATGAGGACTTCCAGGGGTCCCTTCCTCCCTGTCACTATAGAAATATTTGTTGTGCTGCTTTGTTGTATCAGGCAGTTACAATAATTAGTTCATTTTAAGAGTTGGGGTCAATATAAGATACATTAAAATCCATATGGTTCCCTTCTTTTCAACTTCAGGGAGCTTATTTTAGATTGAAAAAAATCTGAGTTCTGTTACAATATAGCTCTGAGCCCCCAGTTAAGAAAACTCTTCATACCTAGACAGAGGTTGAATTCTCTGCCTAACTTTACATTGATATCTATCCCTCGTTAATCCTTGACTTCCTTGTGTTTGAGGCAAAATTCAGTTACTGTATTATAAATAGATTATATTTTTATATAGGGCAGCTAGATGGCACTAGATAGAGTGCTGGGTCTGGAGTCAGGAAGACTCTTCTTCCTGAGTTCAAATCTTGCCTCAGACACTAGCTGAGTGACTCTGGGCAAATCATGTAACCCTTTGCCTCAGTTTCCTTATTTGTCAAATGAGTTAGAAAAGAAAATGGCAAACCACTCCAGTATCTTTGCCAAGAAAACCCCAAATGGGGTCACCAAGAGTTTGACATGACTCACCAACTGATCTGAATTATAGTGTCTAGGGACAGAGAAATACCAGGAGGGAAAGTTGGGCAAAGAGCTGACCTTTTCTTAGGATTTCCCTCAGCCTGTGTTCTCTGCTCTGAGATGCCTACAGATCCAATGTCTCTTATCAAAATCTCCCTCTTGGTAACAACTAAGTCCTTCTTTTGCTCCAAAGGTAGGCTGCAAATGCTGAGACTGCTCTTATCTCGACAATCCATTCCCGGCAGAATCTTTCCCTAATGGTTCTGAGATAGTGTCTTCCTTTTTATATAAACTGCTTGTCATTCTATACACATCTTTTTTACCCTCTGATAGTTTGTTTCAATCTAATAGTTTGATTCCATCAAAAAATGTTCTTGTATAGTTAAGGTATTAACTCTAGAATGGGGTAGCTTTGTCCAACACTTGCCCTAAATATTGATTATTCTCTTTTTAATCTCTCTCTCTCCCCCTTTCTCTCTGTCTCTGTCTCTCTGCCTCTGTCTCTCTGCCTCTGTCTCTCTCTCTCCCCTCTCTTTCTTTTAAACTTTTTCACTCTACTTTTCCTTTCCCTTTCCAAGTCTTTCACCAGTATTGTCAGCAGACAATTTGGAATAGTAGGAAAACTGTTGGATCTGCAATCTGAGAACCTGTGGCCTTGGCCAATACATTTCTCTTCCCTGTGCTTCAGTTCCCACGTCTATAAAAAGTGGGGATGATTTTGGGCATGACCAGTGTGGTCATTTGTTTTGCTGAACTATGTATTATTATGATGAGACTTTCCCCCCCCTTATTTGTTTATTTTTTTGGAGGGGGTCTATGGTAAGTAAGTAGAAGGGCCAGATTATAAATGCATGTACAATAGTAAGGTCATCTTTAAGGGCCTGCCTAGTCCTAAAATCTAGGATTCCATGAATCCTGTTTAGGTTTCTGATTCAGTTCTTCCCAGCCTACTATCCAGTTTGAACAGTGTAAAAAGCAAAAGGATCTAGATAACTCTTGACATTGATTTTTAGATACCGAATAATCAAGAATTGATGGTGGTTAATCCTCCCCAGCCTGGGAGGGCAGATAAATTCCATTGCAGGCAAAGAAGAGTCTGAGGCATTAAAAGGGGTAGGTGCAGTGAGTTGAAAGGTGCCGGCAGGTATGTGGGGGTGGTGTGAAGCGGAGGGAGTGGTGTTGAGGGCTGATCCCAGAAGGCTTCAGACCTGCGGGAGGGAGGCGGTGGAGGGGAGAGGACACTGCTTGCGGCCAGGAACGAGTTTTGCTTTCCTTCGTAAGCTTAGTGCTTGGGCCTAGTACCTGGCACAGAGTAAGCGCTTGATGATTGAGCCAAACGTGAACCTACGTTCATTCTCAAGGAGGTGCTGGGCACTGATCCATCGGGACTCCGGTCAGGCACCCTTGTTATTGTTTGTACTTCGTTCTTGAAGACCTAGGGGAGGGGATGCCATGACACGCAAGTGAACTGGATTTAAGGGAGACAGGACTGTGCAAAGGCACCAGCCTCACTTCCTCCTCCCGAGCCAGATATAGATCGGGGAGACTGGAGATGGCCTTGGAGAAGGGGAGCAGGTTAGCTTGTCGCTTTCCCCACGGTACTGGGGACAGGAGAGCTGTGCCCCCTACCCGCAGCAGCGCCGCCTCCGTCCCTCTCCCAAGGTTTGCAGAGCTAGGAGGGAAGGGCAGAGACGGAGGCACCGAGGGGAACAGGGAGGGAAACACCTAGGTCCGGAGCGCCTCGCACCTGAGCGCCACCGGCGGGGGCGGAGCCGGAGAGGGCTGGCCAGAGGGCGGGGCCCACGCCACAAACCAATCAGCTCCGCCGGGGCGTCCTGTCCTCCGACTCCGGCCCCCACCCCACCCCAGCCCTCCCTCCCCCTCTCCCGGCCGAGATCCGCCTCGGTCCTTTCCGCCGGCGCTTCGGCTTCTCTCGGCTCTCTCCCTGGAGAGAGCTGGGAACTCGGGGAAAAAGAGTTTGCCGCCGCTCCTTCCGGGACTGGGAGGCAGGCGGGCGGGCGGCGAGGGGCGAGGGGCGAGGCAGCCGCACGCAGCTGTCGGGGCTGCCGCGCTCACCTGGGGCTGCGAGGTCGCCGCCAGCGCCGCCGCCGGACCCTCGCGGGGTGAGTGGGCTCGGGCGCCCGACACTGTTGCCTGGGGGCTGGAAAGGACGGAGGGAGTGGGGGGGGCGCGCTGTCCCCTCCCTTCCCGCGGCCGGACCCGGGCGTACATGTGTCCGGACAGGTTCCCGCCTCCCGCTGGGAAAGGCGTGGACCGGGCTCTGAGCCCCCGGCCCCAGCTGGGGTGGGAGGCTACCCTCGGTGGGGATATTTATTTACTTTTTTTGGGGGGGGGGGGTTCTGGGTTTCGGGAGAGAAGGGAAGTGTGGTCGGCTGGCAGGTGGAGGTGTACTTCTCCCCCATTCCGCCTCCATCCAGCTGGTTTGCAAAGTTGAGTGGAGGTGCAATAGCCGGGGGCTTGGGGGCGGACCGGGGGGTTGAGCCCCTCGGGAAGGGAAGGCTTAGCTACTACCCCCCCTCCCCCATGTCCAACTCCCTGTAAAATCTTACTAAGTTAATTATGACGCCCTCTAGAGTACGTCCCCTCCCCATTTTCCAGAACGCGCCCCATATGGGGAAGATCGCTGAAAGTGGTGGGATGTGGAGAGGGGCTCGAGCTGTATTTGGGGATGGGGTGGTCAGCCTTGGGGGCGGTGTGTGCCAGGACGGCGCGGGGGGAGTGTGCTTGGAGGGCGGGGGAGTGCAGAGGGGCCCGGCTCCCCCTTCTCTCACCTCTTGCCCCCCTTCTCGCCCCCTCCCCTTTTGTGTTTCTTCCTGCAGGGGGAGTGGCGCGGTCGCCCCCGCCCGGGGGTCGTCCCCTCTAGTTCTCCCCGGACCTGGTTGGCGCTCTGAGCCTCTGCCGCGGGAAGGAGGGGAGTGCCGCTGCTGGGACTGGGAGGAGGAGGAGGAGGAGGAGGAGGTGCAGGGCCGGGACTGGGGGTGGGCTCTGGGGGGAGAGGGGTTCCCCCGTCCCCTCTGGGAATATGGCGACCGGTGGCTACCGGACCGGCGGCGGCGGCGGCGGCACCGGCACCTCCACCACGGACTTCCTGGAGGAATGGAAGGCAAAGAGGGAGAAGATGCGAGCCAAGCAAAGTCCCCAGGGCCTGATTGCGGTCCCCGCGAGTGTGGTGGGAGGCGGAGGGGTGGCTAGCGACGGGGTCAGCAAGCTCCTGGCCGGAGCGCTGGGGGCTCCCCCCTCCTCCGCCTCGCCGGCCCCCCCGGCCAACGAGCTCAACAACCTTCCCCCCGGCGCGCCGGCACCTGCTGCCTCCGCCCCCGGGGGCGCCGGTTACACGCTGCCCTCGGCCTCGGGCTCGGCCGCGGCCCGAGCCCCCGCGGACCCCCGCAGAGCCGAGGAGGAGCTCCCCAGCACCTCCGCCGCCGGGCCGGCCGCGGCCGCCTCGCCCCACGGCCCCCCCGCTGCGGGGAGCCGAGCCGGCCCCGATGCCGGGGCGCAGCCCCCCTTGGGCGACAGGGAGGAGCAGGACAGTGCCAAAGAGAAAGGGAAGAGCTCGGGCCCCAGCGCCAGGAAAGGCAAGGGGCAGATCGAGAAGAGGAAGCTGCGGGAGAAGAGGCGATCCACGGGAGTCGTGAATATCCCTGCAGCCGAGGTGAGCCGGGGTTCTCCCCCGGGAAGCGCCCGGGGCTTCCGCGGCTTTCCGCGGCATCCCTCCCTCCCCGGGAGCTCCCGAGCCCAAACTTTGGCCCTTCTTCCTCCCCGTTCCCTCCTCTCCGCCTTCGTGGGCGAGGACCCAGTGATGGGGGGGTGGGGGGTGGGGGCTGCACCCGGGACTAAATGGCTTCTTTGAATACTTTGGGGCTTGCAGAAACTTTGAAACACGTGTTTGGGGGCATTCGCAAGATAATCTGTCTGTCCGACCCAGGATCTTTCCCACACATTGCTAGAAACCAAACCTCTCTCCCTGCTTTAGCTTGCTGCAGTTAAGAGAAGTTTTTGAAGTTTTGTTTGAATTTTTTTTAGTCTCTGCCTTCTTTCTCCTCCCCATTCACTGTCTAAGGCCATCTGTAAGCAAATCTGTGACTTTAGTAGAATTGAAGACAGTCGTTTTGCTTTGAAGTCCTAGGAAGGGGTGGTTTAACTGCCCCATCTTTTACATGCATAGAGATGTGCCTTCTCAGAGTTGGTACACACACACACACACACACACACACACACACACACACACACACA